AACAGCCGAGCCTCCTCCACAAGTACCCACTAAAGGGCAACATGGAAGCTTTGATTATCCAAGCATATGTTAGTCATCCATGCACACCATCATCATTAATGTGATTCATTCTTGCTGATATAGGACTAGCGATCTCTATTGTAATAACGAGGTTATAAGAAGTCTATGAATTGTCGCAATGGGTGTAACAGTCAATTTGGGTGGATATAGGATAGCGCTTTAAGGCTGACGTGAAGAAGACGGATATGTATTGTAGATCTGCTATATTGATGACTATTGAATGTAAGAGTGGAAAGGGTTAATCGTGTACAGAGGTTTAGCAGCGCATATTTATGCACAAAGACGGTACACAAAATATACCATCAATAGCAATAACTCCCAACCACACAACAATAATGTCATTAGATATACCGGCGTCATGTTATCATGTATGGCTGAGATGCTGGTGTTGTCATTGTTGTGTGCCGATGACGTATCATTGACATAGGGTCGCTTGTCCTGTCGCTTACACTTGCTTAATACTAGCCATTTCAAGTTGTGTGATCTATAAGTGGGCCTGATCACAGCAATCTCCTGTCTCACGTTGAACAAGTGTGTGTCCTGGTCATGTGCTATTATGTAATATTAATTAGAATTAGCATCATTAGGAGTTTTCGGTTGGAAGAGGGGACACTCAACTTACATCTGACTAAACGACTTACCAGGCATTCTCTCATACTAATTACAGGCGTGCTTTGAGTCCATAGTCTATTGTAAGACAAAGACGCACACAAGCATCCTAGCTATGACTAGTACGGAGACCAGCTCAGATGATGTACCACTGCGCTCTGATAGTACTGCCTGCATCCGCAAAGGAAGGCCCGGCGGGCATAAAGCCTCTCAGTTTCAAACTTGCGCTCACGGGAATCTTGTCCATTCTAGCCTCTGTTTGTGAGCTTTTCCTACTACCTTTACTTGCATAGCCAAGATGTATCTTCCGGACTTTTCTCGCAAGATTATTCTCCCCCGCGTGTATCTAGAGACCAGCTAGGGCCAGAGAACGGTCCTCAAAATAAGCATGGAAGAGGTCGTACTTGCAGACTCGATGAGACTTTGGCAGGAATCGAAGTAGTTGCGGTTCAAAGATTTATTTGGTATTACGTAGTTCTGAATCATTGCCCCGAGTGCTGATTTATTTGGTATTACGGTAATTGGCTCGAATCAACTCCGGGATAAGATTTCATTTCAAGGCTCCTGGAACTGGTTGTGCATAGCTATTTTGTCTTTATCCTTCTGGATCGTGCCACACTCGTACTAGAGCAAAACATCGTCAGAATCCAGTTTAAAAATTAAGTCTAAATCGAAGGAGATGGAAAATCTATGTTTCACTTTAGTCTATATTAAATTTGAGACTGAGAGACTTTACGAAGAATCACTCAAAACTTTACTCAGATTTCGAACAGACGACATTATAATAGTCCACATTTTGAGTGGGGAGTTGACCTACGCAGGGATCGAACCTGCAATCTCTTGATTCGTAGTCAAGCGCCTTGCCATTGGGCCAGCAGGCCCTATAGACATAAGTAGCTAAAAACTTATATAAAACAATATATTTTGGCCAAAATCTTAATAATACTACTTGCAGGAATTTTGAATTTTTAGTTTGATTTCAGTTAACCCGATCAGGCCCCCTATGGGTCCATGCAGGTGACTATCTGCAATATTTACAAAGGAGGAAACCAATTTGGTGAAAACCCCTTGATCCTGTCTTTTTATGTTCCTATCAATTTATTTGGTTTACCTTCAGGAAGTGCAGTGTACACTGTTCAGCTCGTGTGGATTCCGTCCTCTCCCCTTCCAGATCTATTTACTTTATCCGACATTGCTACCTCGACTTCCCCTGCCAGTCGAAACTGTTTTATCCACCCTTTGTTTAGTATCCACTGTGTAATTCTGGCCATGTCTTCTGGGCTGTTCATCATTGCTTCAAATGACCTGTCTTTAGCTTGTCGGGGAAAGTCGCCTCTCCCATTTGCCCACTGTGGACACGCCAACACCATTTGCTTGACGTTTTGCGACGGATATCCTTATTGTCAGCTTGGCTTTTCTACTCCGGGTACTTTTCTTCTGCTCAGGTAAGAATTGAGTCCGATATGCTCGCTCCTTAGCCGAATGGCGACACTGCTTTGGGCCCTAGTTAGGTTACGGTGGATTCTTAAGGGTGCATCTTTGAAGTTCATTTTGACGCTGCCTGTTTGTTTATCAGTAAATATATTTGCCGCTTTCCAATGTTCTGGATCGGCTGATGCTGGTCGGCCAGGGCGGTGTTTCCTGATCTGGCTTGTCCATGAATCCTTCCACACCTGAAAGGCCGCTATCTTTCCAGCTTCTTTCTGCCTTCTCTTATCCTTTTCCCTTCCGCAAGTTCTTGTCCATTCGGCGATATCTTTACTCCTGGTCAATGCATGCGGAGTTTCTCTCCCGTTTGCGGGCAGCTTTATCCTCTTACATGTCGATCGGATTGTCTCTTGAACTGGGAGTTTATCTGATAGTCCAGCGTGCTGGACCCTCCTTTGTTTCAGGTATATCTCTATAGGGAGGACGGACGATTCGTGCTCTAGCACTCTGCTGCTAGTAGAATTGTAGGCACCTGCAACAAGCTTTAAGCATTTTCTTTGAATACTTCTGAGGGGTCTTGCAGGAATTTAGAATATTTGTTAATTTTTTAAGGTCTTCCGGGTTTCAGTTATGGCTAGGGACCCATCACTTGGGGGACATGGTGACAATGGAATTTAGAATAATTGGGGCCATCAAGTGGGCCACGCTGTTGATATACACGTGACTGCGAGTTCTGTACTTTGTTTCACTTTGGTAGTTACTTGAATCAATGCGCTTTACAACCTCAATGACTGAGGAGTCATTACTTTCTTACTGCTCATAATGGATTTTGAATTTGTTTTCGTGAAGCCTGATTTGCCGCCCTATGGGCCCATACAGGTGTCTACGAACTCCAATATTTACAAAGGAGGAAACCTTGCAGTTAAAACCCCCTTAGCTGTGTGATTGGACTCTAAGCCCTTATAGTCTTATCTCTGGAAAGTGCGCTCACACTGTTATTGCTAGTCTGGATTCCGTCCTTGTCCTGTGTTTCCATTTTCCTCTCTTCGCTTGATTAACGCTTCGATTTCTCCGATTATTCGAAACTGCTCTAGACATCCTTTTGAATCCATTGTGCAATTTTAGTCATATCCTTGACGTTATTTACCTTAGCTTCGAAAGACCGGGTTGTCGATTTTCGTAGCAACTCGCCTCTTCCCTTTGCCCGTCTTGGAAAAGACATCACCATGTGCTTTATATTTTGGGACGGATATCCACATTGGCAGCATAGTTTTCCTACTCCTGGCACATTTATTCTGTATAAGTAAGGGTTAAGCCCAATGTGCTCGTTTCTTACTTGTGTGGTAATGCTGCACTGGGCCCTGCTAAGGCTTTGGTGGATTTGGAGAGGTAACTCTCTGTAGTTCATCATAAGTCTACCTGTTTTCTCATCGTTATACAAATTAAGAATGGATTATTATTATTGATTCACTTTATTCCTGTCTAAGTCTATGACTATGTAGGACATGCAGGTTCCCTCTGCCTACAGGCCAAGGATACCTATTGTGTGAACTGGATCACAAAATGTTATGTACAAGGGTCGAGTTGCGACCTTTCCTTATAGGGAATGGCGTTTAGCTAAGGGCAACAATGTATTTATAGAATTCCTCCCGACAGGGAGAAGAAATGGGAATGAATTGAGTAACCCCACACAAGCTTGTGAATTGACCATTGGTAGTGTTCCGACACCTATGCCAGTAGTACTTCCCCTCCTATGCCTCCCATACAGCTCCCCTCAAACAGTACTACCCCTCACAAGTTCTCATTCGATCATAATCTTAAAGGAGCCCTTTGCCCTTCATTATCTCCCCTCTCCAGCCAACGAAACGATGGCCATTTGCAGGTGTATGGCAGCCGGGAAAAATCGCAAAAACCACTGGGTGCGGAGCTCTCCTAATACCTATGTTAGGACTAAATCCGAAGACATAGTGACCATTCTGAAGCGTTCAAAGAGGCCGGCCAGCCGGGCGCTACAGACTTGCGGGTACCTCGGGAAATTCACACTCTACTTTTCTAGCCTCCTTCCCGAAGGTCGTGCCGAAATGTCAGAAAAGTCTTGACAGAGAGTGATTGCTGTATGGTAGCTTAGCCCGACTTCTTTTGTGCCGTCCAGGGCGCTGGGGAGTGCCGTTGACTCATCGACAAGAAGCCCTCCTGGCGAATTAGCCGATGTCTCAATCTTGGCGCCGACAAAAGATCCAAAGTTGAAAACTCCTCGAAAATATCAGTCCCGGCATGCCTTTCAGAGACCTGTTCTCCCTCACGTTATTTGTCCCATCGGAGCGACAGTCCCACAAAAATGATGACCCAATTCTTGTATAATATGACTCAATTTCCTCCTCGCGGGTATACGTAGCGTCGTAAATTTGAAGTGGATGATGGTCGGTAACGAATGAGGTAAGCTCCTGTTTGCGATTGGAGTAACGCTTTTATCGGTCGTTGAGGCGAGGTAGTGTGTAGAGATGTTAAGGTAGAGGATTATCGTGAGAATGACAAGACCGATATTGATGAGAAGTTTCCGATTATAGATGTGTTTCTGTTTGCTTTCGACATCGACTCGGTTGTGATTCTTCTGGGCTATCCCAAATATGCAGAGCATACTGAGCGATTATACCGGCACCACTGGAAGGTGAACAATTCGACTTTGCCAGCTCCTACTCCTGGTACATTCCTCCGGTAAATGTAAACATTGGGCCCAATGCGCTCGCTTCTTGCTTGCGTGACAATGATGCTTAGGGCCCTTGAAAAAATATTTCTCTAGTTAATAAATTGTCAGAATTCGTTCTCATCATGTGACAATTGGCACTACATTTCGCTGCATTCCACCCCGCTTTCACAACGCAGCTCGCTCGTTGATTCACGACATGTCCACACCAGCTGGGAAATTAGCTGTATCTAAAGAAGATGAAGAATACCTAGCCAGAAATCCTTTAGGCACAATTTTGAACAGATTTCGGGCAGCTTTTGAGGCCTACAATGAGGGTGTTTTCGTGGAATTTTCCAAGAATAAAAATTACTTATCTGTCAACCGATCCGCTATCGCGAACCTAATTAAAGATTTAGCCGGCTATGCTATTGATAAAGACATAGGATCTGATACAGATCAACTTCTAGACGTCCAACTTATATCTACATATAAATATCTTCGGTCTAGCAACGATGAGCTCTCAATTTTTGACCAACTGGCGACTACTATTGTCAACAACGTATCTGACCATGAGGTTTGGAAAGCAATTCTTCGTCTCGCCCGTGACTATGAGTGCGTACCTTCCCTGAATTGAAAATTATTTCGCTAATAAATAGACTTATGCCAATTCAACTTCTAACTGCATTTTCTCAAAAAGAAGATGAGGATTGGTGGGATTTTGTCGCACCACTTCGTCGACAATTTAAAAACTCAACATTTGAAAATGTAGGTGGCTTTTGGGCAAAGTACTTTGAAGGCCACAAGTGGGTTGAGCAGTGCTCTTATATATTTCAAAGCTTCAACAAGACGCTCAACGAAAATGCACTACGCGCTTTTGCTGACACAACGTCAGAAGAGAGTATTTGGCATTGGCTAGACTCATTTCAAAATCAATATCTAAGTCAGACTTCAGACCCAATCGTACCTCCTTCAGGTGATCCTAGTCAAATTCAACAAGGTGATGCTCATTCTTCGCCAGGGAAATACTTTCGAATGAAAAGGGCAAATAAAAATCAAAGAGGCCAAACCTCATGGCAGTTCGATGTTTTCATTAAACGTCGAGACGTGCCTATCTATCAACTCAACCAGTGGCGGAACGTTTTGGTGGTAGGTGGGATGTCAAATTCTGTTAAGGATGACTGCTGGCACGAGAAATTCCTTGAGCTTTCGGTTTACATGCGCGAGATTTTTTGGGCGCAGCCGCTCCGCCAGTTCGTCCACGGTTTCCATTTGTTTGGAACTCAACTGCTCCTTTGGGTTTTCGACCGAGCCGGGGCTTTCAGCTCAGATACCATCGAAATTCTTCATGAGCCAGAGCGTTTCATCCGCGTAATCGCGGCATACACATTCATGGATGATGACGAGCTTGGACTTGGCACATTTTTCAAAGTGAACGGTAGGCAATCTATTATTACAATGAAAAATGCTACCGACGGGGAAAGTCGAGACTTCGCGCTGGATCCTATGCACTTCGTAAATCGGGAACAAATCGTATCACGTGGCACCACTTGTTATCGTACGATGGATGGCGATAACCTGGTCAAGTTCGCATGGAGAGATCCAGAACAAAAGTCAGAGGCTGAGCTTCTCCAAGCTGCCCAAAATGTAAATGGCGTCTTAAAATTACTCGGATGGCGCGACATAACCTCAATCAGTAAGCTCCGTAATGGGCTTGTATTTTCACGAAAAATGGCAAAAACGATGACAGAAGATTTTGAGCCATACGCATGTTCAGGCGACTCCTTATTTGTCAGAGACCCCTCGCAAGAAAAGCAATCATTAAAAAAGGATGGCATAAATCGTGATATCACCGGGATACAGGAATGTAACGATGAGAGCAAAATTTTACCAAAAAAAGCCAACCCATCGACCTGTTTAACAAGGAAGAGTCTATGCGAAATCAAGGAATTACCAGCCATAGAATCGTTCTATGAACCAGCATTTAAGGATAGAATATTCTCCTGTTTCGGCGCTTCGCCAATAGGAAGGCCTATATCTGAGCACTCATCAGTTCAAGAGTTCCTCACCTGTATGCGCGATGCCATCAAAGCACACAAGGATTTGTTTCAAGAAGCAAAGATTCTACACTGCGATATATCTGAGAATAATATCATTTTGGTTGACCCGAAGAAACAGAACGGCTTAACTGGAATGTTAATCGATTTAGATTATGCAATCTGGATGGGTGTTGAAAATGATAAAAGCCGAGCTGAGGCTCGAATCATGAGAGGTACCCTAATGTATATAGCAATCGAGAAATTATGTGGCTATAGTGACCAAAAATCTCCTGGTGTAGAGCACACATACCGTCACGACCTTGAGTCGTTTTTTTATGTATTTCTCATTGTCTGCACACGTTATGGCTGGAATGATGAACAGCGGCCCAAAGAGAGTCCTCTTAAAGAATGGTATGTTAGCAGACAAAAAATACTAAAAGAGATAAAACAGCGTCAAATGGAAGAGAGTGGTTTCGAAATATTTATTTTGAAAAAATTCTCTCCAAAATTCGACTGTGTCAAAGATTTAGCCAGAGAGCTACGGAACATATTATTTTCAAAGGGGAAGCTCTCAACGGGTACTCCCGATGATCCCGAGGAAATGTACGGCCTAGTGCTTGAAGCGTTTGAAAGTTCTCTTCATATTTGATAATATTAGGCTAAATCGTTGGAGATTAGGCTGCCTTGGATTATAAAGTACACACGGTTTACATAGAGACGACTATGTAAATATATGCATAGTTTGCCCTTGGTAGCTATTCAGGATAGAGTCTCTCTACTGATCATGACTAATATTAAAATCCTGAATAAAACATTGGAGAAAAAATGGCTACCATAGAAACGCAGGTATGTAAGTTGATAAAGTGGACTGAGCTTGGGTCATTTGAAGAGCCTCACATACTTAATATTTTATAAAATAGATATCTTTGAGGTCGGTCTAGAATCGCGGAAAGCCTGGGGAATTAGTCCATGGCTAGGTACGAAGCTTGGTATTTTTGCTTATAATAACTTGCCCTGACTATTGTCTGTTGTGTTACATCGTCCCATTATCTATATCTTCAGAATGAGTTATACAAGGATTCGGCCGGAAGCTCATCGTATTCTAGAGTGCTACCATGGTCGTACTATGTTTGGCTGAGACAATTATCTTCTAAGTCTTGATTTCGAGGTTAGGGAGAGTCTATGGAAAGCTGTTGAGCCTGTAGCTCCCACATTGGTAGACGTGCAGGTTCCAAGACACAAGTATCCTTTACGCATGACAGGACGGTTTTTACGGTTTCTGCTTCGACTTTAGAAGGGGTATAAGGAGGGAGGAGGATGTTAGTGAGGGAGGAATTTTAGATAGAGTCAGAGTTGATTAGATATAAAAGGATAAGTTAGTCTTATTCTGGGTATCCTTACTTCTTTACGTTCTAGTAAAGAAATCGTTAAGTGGTGAAGTCGTTGTTTGTTTTCTATTTTTCGTCCGTCAGGGCGCCAAGCTTGGCTTAGGTCTCTAAAGTCAACTAAACTAACTAGAGCCATGGACGTCAGTGCTTACTGCCCTCGTGGCTTCGCCCTTGCTTCTTCCCAACTAGGTTTCAAGGCAATTCTCTAGTTACATGATTGCGTGTAGCATAGCACCTGCACTTTTTCAGTCAGTCCCCGAGACTCTTTACTCATTTGATGTATAACAACCACTCTCGAGATACTACTAATAGATCCATTCAGAAATACCGCACCATCCATCCATAATGCAAGGCTCAGAGTTGGGGCAGAGGTTGCAGCCTCAGCAAAACTAAGTGAGTGATTCGAGTCATGAGAAACGACCCCACGTTTGATCACGTGATCAGAGTCCTTGAACGAGGCTCGGCCTGAAAGATAGCCCAGCCTAATCGAACGGGGCACAGCCCGTAACCGGTCAAGCCCTTAGAAACACCGGAACCTAGCTAGTAGAATAACAACGACTTCACCGCGTTATGGATGGATGGTTTGGTATTTCTGAATGGATCTATTAGTAGTATCTCGAGAGTGGTTGTTATCCATCAAATGAGTAAAGAGCCCCGGGGACTGGCTGAAAAAGTGCAGGTGCTATGCTACACGCAATCATGTAACTAGAGAATTGCCTTGAAACCTAGTTGGGAAGAAGCAAGGGCGAAGCCACGAGGGCAGTAAGCACTGACGTCCATGGCTCTAGGTAGTTTAGTGGGTAGTAGGCACCTAAGTCAAGCTTGGCGCCCCGACGGACGAAAAATAGAAAACAAACAAACATATGCTGAGGCTGGGAAATAGATCACTCAGTAGCGAAGGAATACGTGCCAGCAAACAAGATCACTGGTAGCTGCAGAGGGCATATTTACTGTAACAGATTTCCTGTAGTTAATCTCTATAGAAAAATATTAATTCTTTGTGGTGCTGTTTACGTGCGGTGTCCGTTTTCCTCTTCACCCATAACATGACCCTCAATTTCTATAAGAACAAATTCTGGCATATTTCCAAATAAAAATTCCTCGGATGTAATTAGAATCTTTAGTTAGATTCACGAAGTCCTCCATAGTCTTAGACTCAATAGGGACTATGATAAAAAACTTAATTTACTCTGGCGTTTCAATCTACTCATCTAGAGTCACGTGCTACGGCCTAGAACCAGATTACATAATGATGCGTGACTTCTGATAGCTCAATTTCCAGAGGTTTTTTGTGCATCAAATTTTGATTGCATGTGAAGCTGTCTAGCTATGACACATTATCAAAGAAAAGTACATGATAGATGACTCAAATTAAAAGTAGAACACTCATGTCTCGGATTTCATTTGCAAGTGCCACTGCAAAGTTATGGCTGTCTTTCTTTACCCCAATTCAGCCCTCATCCGTGAATACCTACCCAGGGCAACATCTCAGAATCCCTGAGCTATCCAGGCATGCCTCCATCATCCATATACTTATCTCCGCAAGAAATGTGGTCTGAGGCGTCTCCTACCAAGTGGAGTAGGTGCGTAGCCTACTACAACTATACCACAGCATCTTCCATCGTTTGCTTTTTTAGTGCCAGCAGGTCTCTCACAATCGAAGTCTTGGCGCGCTAAAAGCTCTTTTATTTGTAAATTTCCTCGCTAAAATTCGAAGTATCACACCTGTCGAAATTGTATCCTTCTTTTGCATCATAATGTAAACTTAATCTGGTCTCTCTCACGTCCATCCCAAAGAACCTCCTCTTAAATTTATGCACCACGATTTTTATCATCCTGTGGATATAAATATCGGCTTGAGCGTATATTGATGACCGGCTGAAGCCAGGGAAAGTCGATGAGAGGCATGGTCTTTGAAATGAGGATGTACTCGATTAGACCTGCAGACTTGACGAGGCCTCGGTGAGAATCGATCTCGTTTGGAGTAAAAATTTGACATGGTCGAGTGTTTTGAATCATTGCGAAATTCGATTGAACTTAGCTCGCGTAGAGTATTTCACTTCAAGGTTCGTAGAGGGCACCACTGACAGGTGTTCAGCCTTACCCTCCGCGTCTTCGTGCTTGGAACGGTGATATGCCGCAAAATACCGATGTCCTCATCTGGCAGTAGTGAGTTCGTGAAGTGTTCCCCGAGACTACAAGAATTTCTGGGATTTAAGTCGCCGCCTTTGCCATTTGGGGCATTGATGTTAAGCAGAGTGAGAGGTTGACCACAGTTCATCTATCATTTCTCGTCTTTACTTTTGAATGAGACAACAAGGTCATGCAAGGCTGTTGTAACTGTTTTTTCCCTGACTACACCGAAGTGGGTTTGGTGTAGTCCGAGCTTGTATATACGCCTCCACATTCCCCTGGACGTTTCTGCTTCCTGAGACCTACCCGTTGTTTGCCTTTACTATCGGTGCAACAATGTATGAGATGCTAATCAAGCGAATCATGGAAGTCACGTACACGTCTGCAGAGCCCTAGCAGCTGCTTGGTTATCAAGTAACACGGATATCTACTCTCTCCTTTACCTCACATTAATAGCGGCTCGAAAAGCCACTGTTGCTCTGACAATCTCGGCGTCAAAGGACTCGCATCCATGTCGGAAGCCCAGTTTATTGTCAATGGTTACACCTTCTCGTTTAAGCAAATAATCCCAAGCTGACATGCCGTGGCCTTCTGAGGATTCATCTGAATAGGCGCATATCTCAGGTAGGGGAGGCTGTACAAGTCTAATGTTAAAGTGCCTCCGCTACTTCCTGCCAGCTGGACAGATTCCTTCGGTGTACTGGCTTCTGTGACGGTTAAGCACCCTCAGCTTGGGATTTTTAGCATAAAGCTCGCTGAATGCGGTTCATCTTGGTCAAGGGTTGTGATGAGAGCTTTTGTATCTTTCTTATTCCAACGTTCGGGCACAAGCGTGCATGACCACGCAGGGGTCGGCGATCATTGAGGAAAGCACATGTACCTATCATTAGACAATCAGCCGACTAGCGGAAGATGGTTTTACCGTGTGAATGAAGTTTTTATATCATCAGCCTTCGACCCTCAATTGACTTGACCCCGTCAGATGACCCCATTTATAATGTCTATATCTCCAGAGGTCAGTGAGTACATTACCCAAAATCCGCTAGGGTCGATTCTTTCCACCTTCTGTGATGCCTCAAAATCTCATCAGCAACCAACATCTAGCAGTATTTCCGGGAAACAAATAGACGAGAATATTAGTCGCTCCGCCATTCAAAATCTGATTCAAGACATAACCAGCCACAATGTTACAAAAAAACTAGGATCACAAAACGAATATATTTCATCCCAGCTCAATCTAATATGCATCAACCTGAACCATGGCCTCGAACTTTCGATCTTCGAGCCTCTAACAACCGCTATATTTGGGAAATCTTCTGATCTCATAGTCTGGAAAGCCATACTACAGCTCGTTAATGACTACGCGTAGGCATCGTCTCTCCATACAAGCAATTATGCTAATTAATAGAGATCTGCCTATTACACTACCAAGGAAGTTCGTTCAAGAAAGCAACCAGTCGTGGGAGGAATATGTAGCACCATTACGCCAGGAATTCAGATATTCATCTTATGAGAATGTTGGTGGCTTTTGGGAGAAGTACTTTGAAGGTCGGCCATGGCAAGAACAATGCTCACTCACATACCTAAACCTGAGCAAGACACATAACAGAGATGCTCTTGGTAATTTCCCCCACGTTATTACAGAGAAAGATACTTGGCAGTGGCTTAATTCTTTTCAAAACCGCCTCTTAGATAGGTCTTTAGAATCTTCAGACCTCTCTCCGATAGGTGGTCCCACACCTTCCCAAGTAAGCAACGCTTACGCATCGCGAGGAAAGTACTATCGCTTAAAGAAAATAGAAGACACTAATGCCAGCCGAGACAACAAACGGATAGATCTATTCATCAAGAGCCAGAAACAATCCTCGGAACTTCCCAGCAGCTGGAATGATGTGCTAGTACTAGGGCATATGACAGACTATTTTGAAGACGCATACAGTAGAAATAACTTCTACCATCTCGCTATCTCGGTGCGTGAAGTCTTCTGGGCGCAGCCTCTACGCCGCTTCATCCATGGGTTTGTCTTGTCTCACACAAAGCTACAGTTGTGGGTATTTGATCGATCTGGTGCCATCGGCTCAGACATAATTGAAATTTGGGAAGAGCCGGAGCGTTTCATCTATGCATTAACAGCTTACACGATAATGAGTGATGATGAACTTGGACTTGACTCATTCGTTCAACGGAATAGCTGCAAGACGTCAATTATAGTTAATGATGACCTCACGCAACAAGAACGAGAATTTGAAATAGATGATAAGCCCTTTCAGGTTGATAATTCTGTCGTGTCGCACGGAACCACTTACCACCAAACTAAAGACGGGGAGTATGTGGTGAAGTTTTCCTGGAGAGCAGCTGAGCAACGATCTGAGGCCGAATATCTCAAGGCTGCCAAGAGTATTGACGGTGTTACAAAGCTAGTAGGTTCGCGCGATATCGTATCTATCAAAGAGATTCGCAGTGGGCTTGTCTTCTCACCTGAGATGGCACTACAGTTTCCATATCCTATGAATTGGTGTATTTCAGGCGAGATTGAGTCTCATAGAAATGATGCTAATGGACCGAAAACCACCAAGCACCTTTTAATATTTGAGGATCAAATCCTCACCTGTGTCGTTTCATCACCTGTGGGTCGTCCACTATCTGACTTCAAAACAGTGAATGAGTTCCTAACTGGTATGAGGGATGCAATTAAAGCACACTGGGCGCTATTTCGAGATGCCCGGATTTTACATCGTGATATTTCGGCACGCAACATCATCTTGACCGATCCAAACATATTTAATGGGTATTCTGGAATGCTCTCTGATCTGGATAATGCTATTGCCTTGGAAGACGATGAAAAAAATATACAAGGCGATTCTGGGGTCGTGATAGGTACAACGGTGTATTTAGCGATAGGGATACTAGAGGCTGGCTCTAACCCTGACACCCATGGGATAGAGCATACTTACCGCCATGACCTCGAGTCATTCTTCTATGTTTTCCTTAGTATATGTATGTGCTATGGCTGGAATGAAAAAGATAAAGCCAACATATATTTTCTCTCTCTTTGGCGTCCTCTTGATGTAGAGTCTATATTTGGCGATAAGTGTGGTCGTCTAAGTCCTCGAAACTTTGAAAGAACTATATTGGATGGCTTTTCGCCAAAGTTCAAGAATCTCAAGGAATTAGCCAAAAAGCTCCGGACTACCCTGTTTTCAGATGGTATTTTGACAAAAGCTACTCCAGATGATCCCGAGATTATGTATGCTCCAATACTGTGTGCGTTTGATGAGGCTCTTCAAACCATTCCTTAGTAAGCTCCGTTCGCTTTTATCTTCCTCGGCATTCGATTTGCACAAGGAAAGCCTTATTGAAATTTCTAACCACTTGAACAGAATAACAAATTCTACATTCAAATTCTATCCTACTCGTAGTGGATAAATCATTGAAGGGGAAAAGCGACTTCATTTCTTGAGGGCTACCTATTGAACCTAGGTACTTATTAGGAAAATAAAACTTCAAACATAAGATAACACAAGGCACATACTTAACCCTGGCGTTATGGAAATCGGATTGGTGGCGAAAATGTAGATTAAAATTCAGCAACAAGGAAAATTACAGTTATGACTAACAGATGATTATAAATTTAATCGAGTACGTAGGTGTTACCTCTAAGAATTTCAACAAAGTCCATTACTGCTAGGCATTGTACAGTACGTATTTGGGTTACATATTTAAACATTAAATACGGAGTTATCCCTAATATTTGATAAGGCGAACTTTTTTCAGTAGGGGTATTAGGGATTGTGTCTTTTTTGTTGCGACCTCGATCATTAGCCTTAAATTATCGAAATTTTAATCCATCCGATCCAAAATCTCGATGTCCCTTTCATTTTAGGACGCCTTCCATTTGGACGTGATAAATATTTTCCATTCGGTTACGTGTTAAGTTACAATGCTGTAATTGCATGAAATACAAAATCGATCAGGTGACATACGATATATATTATCTTTAGGAGAAGCTTTTGAGATCCTTTCCCTTCTTGAGAAAAATCTAAATCGGAGGGCAAGACTGAACACCTGTATGCGGTGTCCTCTACGAACCTGGGAGTGAAATATTCTCCCAGAGCCAAGTTCAGTCAAATTTTGCAACATCAAAGAAGTTGGCCCACGAGGCAATGATTCAAGTTACTCCTCAACGTCGGGTTTTAGCTCTCAACGAGTTCGACTCCTACCCAGGTCTCATCAAATCTACAAGTACGACCAAGTACATCCTCATCTCAATGACCACACCTCTCGTCGACTTTATCTGGCTTCAACTGGTCGCCAAAATACATGCCCGTGCCGATATGTACACCTGACGGAGGAGGCAAAGCTTAGCGCACAAATCTAGGAGTCTGATCATTGGAACTGGCGTGAGAGGATTCAGGACAAGTTAAATATATGATGTGAAGAATAAATATGGTCTCGTGGGGCGTGGAATTTTGAATTTTGGCAAGGAGCTTTTACAAATTGAGCCTTGTGCGTGCCAAGACTTCGGTTGTGAGAGTGCAGGCGATACTATAAACATCGCCATGGTTGGATGGTGCGGTGGTACATCGTCTTGGCCGGTCTGCCAAGTAGAGTCTGGATAGCTTGGACACATATCCCACTCGAGACAGTAGATCGCTGGTTCGAGTCCGGCAAAACACAACAACATTTCTCGGGGTGCTGGTATGCATGGAAGACGAAGGCATGCTCGGATAATCAAAGGTTTTGAGATTTCCTTTGGCAGGTACTTACAGAGGTGGGTCGACTGTTTGTGTAAGCAAACATACCTCATAGTGGTATTTGCGAATGAAATCCAGAGTATGAGTGTCTCTAACGTCAAAAAAGTCATCCAACATGTAAACATAGCACCGGTCATGTGTCATAGCTAGATTGCTAAATACATTTAAATTATTTAAAAAAAAACCTTGAAAGGCTCGAAATCCTGAATTTTAGCAAGGAGTTTTGCAAATTGAGCTTTGTGCGCGTCAAGACTTCGTTTGCGATAGTGCAGCTGACAATATAAACACAATTTAACGATGGAAGGTGCCGTTGTCTGCCTCCTGGTGTTGTTCTCCGGTATGGTCTTAGTAGGCTGCGCACCTACTCCACTTGGGAGGAGACGCCTCAAACCACATTTCACGCGGAGAAAGTTGATGTATTGTTGGAATTTGCCACATTTCTTACGATAATCGGCATTCCTTGCAAATATGAACAACTTTCCTACATGCTGCCTAATACATCCTGTACTCTGCATTTTAGTTTCTTTTCGCTCTTGAGATATTCTCTCATGCATTTGCATGTGCGGGGTAGTATGATACTAGATGCAAATGCAGTGAGAGATATGGTCATGTTTACTTTGCTACAAGTAGGATGCTGTTAATGGTGCGGGGTCAGTACTGTCTTATTCCCCGCACAATGGTTTCGCGGTCAGCTATGCTGAAAACCTTTTACCGTAATAGTTATTGTTTGCATACCCACTTTAACTCCAGGATATGCGGACATAAATTCGCGTTTTACATGTAACTTAGAACTTCAATGGAAACAATATTCTTTGAGCTATACTTTCTGCTCCTCTTCCTATGAAATCGCAACATGTATGATGGAGGCATATCTAGACAACTCAGGGTTTTGAGACGTTTCCCTTACTGAGCATTCACAGATGAGGGTTGGCTTAGGGTGAAGAATAAGCCGTCGTAACTTCGCAGTGGTACTTGCAAATAAAATCTTAGTCATTAGTGGCTTTCTTTTATATTGAGTCGTATTTTCTGAAATTGTTTCCGATGTTCAGTCATAGCTAGATAGCTGCATACGCAATTAAAATCTAACACAAAGAATACAAAAAGTATAGCACACTAGTCAAGTCACTGGTGCCATAAATCCACATATGTTCCCAAACGGCAAATATGTCAGAAAGACTCTAGCATGATGGAAGTGTTGGAAATATCGCACAATGAAACGGACGCATTGTTCCTGGAACGAGAGAATAAGTTAGCTAATACTTGTTCATATTTAGTTTACTTCTAAAAGAGTGAATATGCGTTGTGAGTACAAGTGTGAGCGACAAAGAGACTAAGCCAGAGTATGAACCATTATGGCGCCATCTAGACATGGAAACCCCCGATAGCCACTCACGAATCCATTGGGTAGCTTTAAACGCTGTCATATTACACATTCCAACTCATTCAACACAGAAAATCGTGTCGGGAATCTAGACGAAATAGAGGCCTACACTTCCCAAATTCTTTGTTTCTCCACTACCAACAGTTGGAACGAGACATGGTAAGATAGGCCTTTCATGGGCTGGGCTGCTTGATTAGGGTCCAAAATTCAAGTCGACGTAAAAGATTAAAATGAAGCCATACACTGCGTTGCCGAATTGGCCCCTGACAAATGCTATTCTGAATTGAGCTATATGAACTGGCCAAAAGTCTTCAGATAATTGACGGGCAAAACTAGTCATCTTGGACGTCGCCACCTTTCCAGAACTAGACACTTTATCATCAATTACTACAAGCAGTTGCCACAATAGTTTATAGTACTCGTATCTTCATATTTTAATACCGGGAAACAATAAAGCTACGAGTTGTTTGCCCACATCGCAAGCTATACTAAGGAAGGAACTATCCAGTTACAGCCTTTTTCCTCGAGTCCTCTTCTTTCAACAGTTAATTTCGGGAATCCAATACGCCCATCCTTACCTCTCTTGCCTCGAGTCCCTGGATTTGAATTCTACGGCTTTGCATGAAATATAGCTAATTTTCCATTTTCCGTTTTCCCAAGACTTCAACGACAACCCGAAAATACAAAAATTCTGCACTAACTCTTATGACTACAGCATTGAAAAATGAAATTCATATACGAGTTCGGATTTAGAGGTGGCGGAAATATGTCGCTTCCTTGGGATATCTTTACCCAAATTTACGGCGGGGCTAGAACACTAGTCACCAGACGTTATCGCCACCTATACTATAGAGCAGGGCGTGATTCCTTTCCGGGAGAGTTAATATCAGTCAGAATAGTGTTAAACAAGAACAATTTTATTCGGCAAAGACAGCTCCGGTCAGAAAAGCTACGCACTTGATGCCAGCTCATTTTGTTAGCTTTTTGCTCTGGCCAGTTGTATCTCAAATAGGTAAAGAGAGAGAAAGCTTCTGAAAATTAATATGAGGGTGCTTCAGTATATATAAAGAGCATTTCTCTCACATCCTTTCAGAAAGTATCTATCTTATCCAACATACATCTACTCAATTTTCTCGAACTTGCTCCATTTACCCTTATTACCAAATTTATTTTAGAACAAAAATTCCTCAAAATGCGATTCTTATTAGCTTTCGCCCTTATGATCATTGGGCTCATGGCTTTGCCAATCGGACCAAATGTTGACCGCCGCTCAAGCAATAAGACTATTGGTACGAAAATTTTGGAAAACTTGGACGGGTTCCGTTTCGAAGATAAGGTTGATACCTTGGTTGATAGCATGAGGGGTAATTATTTCATGGAGTAGTTCATCAGTGGCAGCAGTGTAAATCTAACTCTTTGCACAGGAACCATTGAAAATGCCATGGAGAAAGTTTCGACCATAATTCCGGTTCCAGTCGAGAAAAAGGCTGGATCCGGTCGGAAAATGTCCACATTGTCAAAACTTTTTGGTCCTGCTATCGGCCAGTTCTCGCATAGTAATAAAACGAAAAGATTTCTCCAACAGGATCCTCCTGGTTATCAACTAGATGGAAAACCCTACTTTTCCTTACTACAACAGTAAACCAAAGTCCCACTTGAATTGCCTCTTGCACGATTATCAAGATTCATCCCCAAAAAGCCCGGGACCGACCACCAAATTGTAATCAGAATGCACTCTCTGGGAGTCACGTATCAAAGTGTTTCACCCCATAAAGAGTGAGCTCATCTTGACCTTGAGAGTTTAACAACTAACAAAAAGCAGTGAGAATTGGTTCGGTGGATTGGTATGGTGGCCATCATAACTAAGTTGCCTAGCATCTCAGAACAACAATAAGGCTAGCTTGGATTGTTAAACCGGTGATTGAGTGATGGCGTTGAAATTGGAGTCTAGGTAAATGAAAGTGGTTATAGTATGTGGAAAGACTGGTCCTAAGTTTGACTAGTGCAGAGGTAGATATTTTTTGGTTCAGGTTTAAAATTTAGCATTTGAGTCAATGACCATGAAACATATTGAGATCATCTCTAACCCAGGCTACTGTGGGTAGATATTTTCTAACCCAGCGAAGGATAAGGGTACGGTACCGTGATGGAACGATACGGGATAAATCGCCGAGTGTCGAGACCCACAAGGGTCACCGCTATCTCTTATCCTGTTCTTATTATATATTGGAAAAATTTTGCAAGAC